AGATTTGTAAGTGAAGTATTGCAACAGTAAGTATAGTGCAGCCACAATTAGGGCTAAATAACCAACATCAATGACTTTTGTGTTAACTAAAACATCAAAAACAAAACTGTTCAAATTTGTATTCTTGAATTAAATAGTTTCTGACTAAAATCAGGAATTTGAGAGTTTAATATTTCAGGAGTTTAGCTGAAAAAAGGATTTTGTAGAAAACAGGTTTATGTTTCTCAAAGTAACGTATCAAGAAAAGTATTTGTTTGATATGGGCACTGAAAACTCCTGTTTAGCTAATAGACACTACTTTCATGTAGCCTATGTGTGCTGTCCTCCTACAGTCTACACTTCTCCTGTGATGTTTTCAGCTAAGTTGTGTTGAAATAAGAACTGGAGATGAGATAAATCAGGTGCCTTATGGGATTCTGAGAAGAGCTCAGCACCTCAGTGGTGATGCTGTCTTGTTATAACTCCACTTGATTTTTTTTTTTTTTTCTGGGGAGTTGAATAATTTAGTAAGGGTCCATTTAGTTTAGATACTGTGTCAGCGTTTCACAAGGAACTTGCCAGGCATTGGCCTACTTTGACTCATGGCATTAGAGCATGATCACTTGATGGATATCCTGCACTTGAGGATAATGGACGGGAAGGTGGACGGTCAAGAGAGAAGCTGATGCACTGCAGAGCTAAAACAAACCTAACTGATCAATAGGTGTTTTGAGAAAGGTGCTTGGTTCTTAATGCTACGGTCATTTGTATATCACAGCTCCTCTGTACCTTATTGTTCTCACAGAGGGAGTGTGAGTTATTGAGGCGGCACAGGCCCATTGAGCAGCAGAGAGCTGGTCTCTCCCTGTGGAGTGCTTATTCTAATGAAAGCTCTGTGCTCAGTTTTTTTAAACCTGGCAGCTCAACCAGTTAAACAGTTTACCAATAATCAACCCTGCCACAAGTTGAACAATGTCTTTATGCTGAATTTGATACATTTCTGGCTTTGTATTGATTTCAGTTATGAAAACACTTTTATTTAATATGAATGAAGTGTGTCAATTGTAAATACCGCCTACAAGCCAATTTCTTTAAAAATGATCAATTAGTAAAACAAAAGCTTCCTTTAAGTATTAATTCTGGTAATTCAGCATAGTAAATTTCTTCCAAGCTCTTGTTCATACACTGCAAATGTTTTTTGTGTTGTTTTTCACTTCGAAACTTTTCTAGAGGTCTAAACTAACAAAATATGTTATGTAATTGGTTTCTTTCATGGTTTTTGTTTTTGATTCTTCAGAGTGTGTATTCACCTATCATATATTTCTTGATTTGCTGACTTGCAGACTTTTTGTTTCACTTCTGCTAAGTACAGGAAGGATCCATGCTATCTGTTGCTAAATGTCAACAGTTCTTCACCTTTTCATCTCTTTATCCAACTAAACTTTGTTTTAGTTCATTACAGTGGGGCATTCCAGGGTGACACATTGTATATACATATTAGCCATTGCAAAATGTGGGGTTCACATGGAACACCTTCATTAGACTGGACAAAATGCGCAATTTTTTGTTGTTTTCAAATCTCTCTGTCTGCCAGGTGGTGGCACTATAAGAAGCAGCTTTTCATATTGTAAAGTAAACTGACACACATCTGCGTAAGGGTAACTGAAAGATGGCTAATTAATCTGGACATGCGTGATGTATTTATATGGGATATTGTTGTGGGCTGCTTTTGTATTGTATTGTTTTATTCATGCATAATTATTGTGTGTGAATTTAAATCAGCGGGGCTGATCTGAGTTGGGCTGTAATCATCTCTGATGAGCCTGTTATAAATTGAACACAGCAGGTTCTGTTGACCGTCAGTATTTGTAGTGAATTTTAAGACAATTTTAATCTCACATTTTTGCCTCTTTACATATTCTGTAGTTTCATATAGTAGAAGCACATTTTCTTTTCAGTTCCAATACTTTCTTAAACTGTGGTCCATTTCTCTGCTCCGCCTGAGGTCATCTGTGTCAACATACAACAAATGATGAAAGCATCGTCAGCGCCCCTTTCTCTGCGGATTACTCTCTAATCATTCTTCCACTCCTCTCTCTCACACAAACCCCCTTTCTTTAACATGGACCTTCCTCTGACTTGCACTCCTCTCTCTTTTGACTTCTGTCCTCAGGCTTATGCTCAGCTCTGCCTCTGCAGCTGACACTTTGAAGGATAAGCTGCAAATGTGGAGAGGTAACATCCTCCAGAGTGGCCCTGCTCAGAAGGCCATCAGGGCGCTATAAAAACGCATAAAGCAAACAGAGACAAAATGATGTGTCCTTTTTATTTTCTGCTGTACATGACTCATACTGGTTGTCCTATGCTTGTCTTGGAGTTTGGTGAAAGGTATATGCAAATGCCAAGAGGCTGCTAGTTAGTTGTCCAGACACTGAGTGTTATCCCTTTATCCCTCTAATCTACAGCGTAACGGTTTGAGTTCCCTCTGTGTGTCTGTTGGCTGCCCTGAGGCTCCCAGAGGCTCCGCAGCAAATGGCCTGTTACTCTTATCAGCACCTCTCTCCCCCTCTGCCTCACTCTGTCTCCCACCTCCTCCTGCACCCCTTCACCCCTCCCTCCCTGTCATCACTAGCCGTCTGCTACTTAATCCAATTATTCATTTAAGCTGACACGCTCTGTAACTCACCACAAACTCTACAGATGACGCCCCTGTGCATCACATACACACATCCGCACACAAACTCATAAACACATACACACAGACACATGCACAGACAGTGATACTGAGCACTGTTATTGCAAATATTTCAGGTCATGCAAAGTTCCCATTCATGCTTAGGAAGGATCAAATATAGCACATGTACTACAGTGCTTTCTGGTTGTACATTGTAGTTGCCCCTTTCTGCTTGTTCTGCCTATTTTTGGGTGCCCTGACAGAGGTTTCGGCCTCTGTTGTCACCCTCTGATTCACTGTACCCTTGAGGTGACTCCGTCTGTGTCTGTGTGCTGTCCTCCACTTCCCTGCTATGTGTTTAGCAGCTAATGCATCTGTCTTCACGGACACACAACAGAAGGTCCTGCTCCCTCTTGCGGGTGTATTTCTTGTATCGGTCTGTCCTTATGGGGATCACATGTCCTCACAAGTGCGTAACTATGAGGAAAATCCTCAGGGAAGAGGACATTTTTGTCTGTTTTGTCTTTAAAAGGACTTTTTTCAGGTTGCGACTTTGGTGTTAAAATTAGAATCAAAATTAACTTCAGATTAATGTTAATTCAGGATTAGGACTTTGCTTTGGGATTAAAATTAAAATTTCCTTTAGGTCTATATTATGGTAAATCTTATTGGGGAAGGGCTGTGTCCAACTATTTCTATAACTTTCTGAAACACACTATCAGACATTAACACCCAATTTACACCATGATTAGCTGTGAAGAGGTGAGGAAGGAGCTCTCTCTAGCTCTCTTTTTCATTCATGACACACGGATATTAAGAACAACCCTATATGCAACACAATGAGTTATACAACCTAGTTGTGAGACGTCCTAACAGCAGCCTTCTTACATGTACAGCAAAACATAAATGTGTATGTGTGTGAATGGTTGTGTTCCTGTATGTGTGCACATGTACATGCTCACTTTCTCTCATCATGTTTAGTGGTCAACTAGCCAATCTACAGTTTTCTCCTTCCGTCAACAGTTTGTGTGCTAAATGGCCGTAAATAAATGTTTTTTTGCAGTGTCATGGTATGACAGCCCGCATCACTGCATCTTAAAAACCCAAGAACTATAAAATTGCTGGTGTAAAGTAAATAGTAAATGTGCAGTAGCAGCCACGACAGGGTAATTAATCCCTGGATTCTGCTATTTCACCCCAGTGCAAATTTTGACAAGTATTTCTGCCGCACAGGGGCAGCGAGCGTCACAAAAGGAGCTGCGTTTGGTTGTTTTTGGTGCTGACACGACAACAGTCAAGAGTAACAGATGGGGTTTGTTGTGTGTGTCTGTATGTGTGTTTCAGGGTGACTGGGACTAGAGCTGTCTACAGTATGTGCTTTTATCTGATTCTTAAGAGAGGGAGTGTGGGCAGATCTGATCAGAAACCTCTTCCTCTGTCTGTCTGTCTGGAGGAAGGTGTTTGGGACATGTCTGTTTTATTGTCTGTCTGATTAACTGAAATGAGCAGAGAGTCTTTATCTGGTTGTTGTCTGGAGCTCACAGACTTTTGTTGTCAACTTTTCATGACTTACTGTTTTTTCAACAATTCTTTTTTCACATCTGCATTCATATTTTGAAGAACGTTTCTCTGCTATAAGACACTGTTGAAATATAGTAGGACACTGTTTTTCTGTGCATCTCAGTGAGAGTTGTTGTGTTAAAGTGCTTTTTGTGTGGTGTGCACATACGTGGTTGCACATTTCTATATGTGACGTCTGGGTAAGTACACTACATTCCGTGTCCAAATGCCACTTTCACAAGCGTGACATAAAGGAATCCCGACTCTCTCCAGTGTTTATGTAAAATAGGTTTGCAGCTTTCCACAGCTGATCCATCTCTGAGCCACAAACCATCAACACCAGATCCTCCTCCATCACCATCATCGTGTGGCATTGCCCAGCGCTCTTCACCATATGCGTGATGTCCTTGTGTCGTGCCACATTTGTGCTCTCACACTCATACTGCTCATTCTAACCTGACCTGTTTCCCACAGGGAGAGTTTTTTTGAGGTGGGTGGGGTTATTTTTTCGGGGTTGGACAAGCAGGGATGGGGTAGGGTGGGGCAGTTCCTCTTCCTGCTCTCTTCCTCCTCTCCCTCCCCGACCTTGTTTTCTACCTGTGTTTCAATATAATGTTCACCTGTTCCTCTTTGAATCTTTCTCATTTCCTTGCCATTGTTTTCTGTCCGTTATGCTCTTCTCCTCTACCCCACCTCTCCCTTCCTTCTTCTTTTCTGTCTCTCCATCTCTCTGCTTCTCACTGTTGCGATTAACTGGGCTCTGTCTTTATGTCGTATGTTCTTTTAGGCCCACGCCGTGCATCGCTGGCTAATCGATCAGGACAGTAGTGTGAGCTCTGAGATGCCGGATGGCCAAGGAGTATGGCACTATGATGATGAAGTAAATATCTGCAACACGTATATCTGGCTTTTTCCTATTTCTATATATCTATATGTATATATATTCTGTATTTATGAACATCTTGTACCTGTCACTTCAAGTTTGTGTCACTATTGTTGCTCTGCTGTTGTTGTTGTTTTTATCTTTATCTCTCTTGTTTTTGTTGTGTGTTGTATATGGTATTGTAGTTCTGGTTCCTTTGAAGTTCTAGTGTTGCTGTTGTGCTGTGAGCTGATTCAGTTAGGTGTTGTGGGATCAGGCTGGAGCTTTTTCTTTGTTCCTGTCCTTGCTTGACGTATTGTACTAACTTGCTGAGTTTTTGATTTGGTTGTTTTTCTTTTTCGTTTTTCTCTTTTTAGTTTCACATTTTTAAATATAACATGAGTGTGTATCTGTATCTATATTAACGTCTATATCAGTGTCTGTGATTTTTACTGAAGTTAATGTCCTCAAGCAGAGCATATTACATGGCAAGAGTCCACGGGCAAAATATAGATCTTGATATTTCCTATCGACTCGATACAAGTTGTCTGCGTAGGCTTCTACACAAAGTATTCCACACAACACAGGTTCATAGTAGTGATAATAGATACCAGTCCAAGTATTTTTCCTGTGGGTTCTTCTGGTTTATAAAATATGCTTGTGTCATTTGTACCACTGTGTTCGTGTTTAGGGTTAAATCAAGTTGTGTGTGTGTGTGTGTGTGAGAGAGAGAGAGAAACAGAGAAAGTTAGTTTGTGAGGGATATGTGCGTGTTCTGGGGGTCAACTTCTTTATTCTTATCAGTGTGTTTGTGTGCATGCTTTATTTCCGTCTGTGCATGGCTTCACTCTGTGTGTTAGTATTAGATTTGATATGAATGTCCGTCTGTGTCTCCGTCTGTGTCTCCGTCTGTGTTGTGTTTGTGCTTCAGTCTGTGGTGTTTTCTGCTTTAGATGTTGTGGGTGTGCCTGCCTTTGCCTGTGCCTTTGATGGGTCAGTGTCGTGTTTGTGTATTGTGGCAGTTGTGTATTTCCCGTGTCACTGTTTGTCACGTGCTGTGCCTGTGTTTTGTCTGGTTTTATCTGTTTAAACAGTCGGGGATACGTTTGCCAAAGGTTTTATTGCACCTATCTAATAGCTGTAGATGATCTTGAATCCACTTCTACTCTGTGGAGGAGAGATCATCTGAGTGCAATAAGGCTGCTGGGAAACTTGTTCCAGACGACTCTTGATGATGGTTTCCCCTCTAATCCTAGCTACTCCCTTGCTCTCATGTCAAATTCCTAAACCTACTCTCCTGATCTCCATATTGCTCCCAAACACTTTGGAGCATCATTGGGTTACTGAACCTCAGTTAAACCTTTTTCAGCTGACAAAGCAAAGCATTTGAAAGTGCAGAGTCATAATGGCTAAAAAAGATGGGGTTAATATTTAACACAGACTGAAGGTAACACACATAAGGCAAGTGGATAAGTATGTAAACAATTATATTATTACAGTTTCCCTTGGCCATTGGCCCAACACACAACAATATGGAGTGTTGTCTTTCCCTCGGTGATGTTCTTGAATATGTGTGCAGTGGGCAATTGTATTTTCCCTTTTTTCTTTTCATTTTCTTTTATCCTTTTGTGTGAATGAGTGAAAGGAGATATTTTTATTTGTTTGTCTTTATCTGTCAGTTAAGACTATGTACACCATCCTTAAGACTCAATGCAGCTGGGACTACAGACCCAGTTTAATGTTCTTCAGGTTTGCAAACATTATCAACATGGTAAGCAAGTGGGACTTGCTGATGGAATAACATAAATGACAAGACGTGAGGAGTAGAATATAGTGGATACAGAGGGAGTGTAGTGATCGCTGGGTGAGACCAGAGGCTTACAAACACTTTGTATGTCCCACAGTACAGACTCAGAGAGAAAGATTGGCGCAGCGATGGATCGCCCAGCCCAGTCTGCCTCACTGGCTCTTAGCCAACACAGCAGTGGAAAACAGCAGCGGCATAAACCACATCCCTGCAACTGGGTGTCTGCTTCCTCACTAGTGTTTACTCAAGAGTGATACAGTGTCCCTTTCTGCCCGCAGCCTCAACGTCTTCCTTCACTGCCCCAATCCTGCATCTTAAAGGAAAGCTTTGGTTTGTTAACTTTTAATTGTTACTTATTTGGCTCCAGCCAATCTATCAGAGAACATTGTGCGCACCAAAGTAATTAATGAGATCAGAAAATGCAGCGAAATTGCTAAAAATAGGTACAACAGTGACACGAATGGTCAGACAATCATACAGGTTGTAAATGAGCCAACAGTTTAGCCCAATTTTCTGAACCTGTTCATTTAAAAACTGCACCTGGAAAACTGTACATTGAGGACTACAGCAATTACAGTAGCTCATAGTTGAACCAGGAAGATGATATGTAAACTGCCTGGATGTATAAAGAGAGCTGGATACAACGTTGATAGTCAGACTTGCTGGCAGTTTGACCCAGCGGCCAACACTGCAACAAAAATATCCCCCTGCAGTCTAAAAAGCATTTTCACCATAAACCACCATTATTAAAAAAAACTTTCACAGAGCCTGCAAGAGTAATTTTTGTAATCACTAGGCGAGCAGTTTTCATTCTGATATCCAGGTCATATGATACATCCATGGTAAACTGTAATGGGTGTTCAAAACAAACAGTTTGGCGGTTGATTTTACCATTAGCCGTTGGTTTTGCTTTCAAAAAAATTTGACCAACCTGTGGGTTTGCTTACATCCAGATTGCCTCACCGAGTTTGTTACCCTGTTGAACCTAGTTTTAGCAAAGTTGCTGCACTCTGAGATTTCAGCAAGTAATGTGGAGAAATCACTTATAATAACCAATGGAATGATGGCAGAAGCAAGGAAAATAAAACTATATATGTAATAGATCTCAGTTTTCCTTTAAAGTTCACTCCAGTTTAATTTTATTGTTCTTAGCTGTCAGAGCAGAGTAAGTCCAAAAGCATTTAGAATCATGCAGATTGGTCAGTCAGCAGCTTGGTGATATAAAGCTCTCAGCATCCCTCAAACTGGTCTCACAAACCATGACTCTCTCCCTGAGGGCTGATTTAATTCACACCAAAATCTAAAGCTTCATCAAACGCCCCGTCCCACCCGGCACCCTCCTGTACCACAGAATTGTGAGATGTCAGAGGTCTGTGTAAAGGCCATGCCCCCTTTGCCACCATTAATCGTTAGTGGGCCTGGAGAATATCCCTTATGATCCCACAGCTCTAATTACCCCTCAGTGAGTCCTTGGAGACAGATGCTCAGGGAGCCAAGCCCCATTCGTCACAGTACGGCTGCATGGCAGACTCAATATGAAAAAAAAGCAAACTGTCACACTCTACACTGTCACATAAATTCTCCCGCGTCTCAGTTTCTTTTTTCCAGCTGCTTCACACCCACTGTAGATGCAGACTACATTAGGAAGCCCATTCATGTCCAGCCACAAGCAGTTGGCTGTAATTTGTTTCGGCTAGGGGGGCAGAGTTTAATTTACATGTGAAAGGCCATGGCGTATTCAAATATTGTAACTCTCATTTTTGTCCCAGGGTTATTGATACCAGCGTCACAGAATTCAGATTAAAATGTAGAGGGGACTTTGAACAAAGCAGCAGAAGTTGTGTAATAATGTCTCAGTTGGCCAGATACCAACTTTAGGAAGAAGACAGGAGAGCAGGATTCTTTCTCCCGGTCTTGCTGACCCATTAAGAACGGATCTTTTCTGGCTTTTTGCAACAGTGAGACACCTCATGGGAACAATATGGCCTACAAAGAAAACTTTGAATGGAGCCATCCCAAGCAACTATACCTTGAATGACTGCCACACCTACAGAACAGGTTCACTATACTGGGATGAAAATTACTATAAAAGTGATTTCATCTTTAAAAGTAGAAATTCAGTTAGCATTGCAGGTAGCAAAATGTTCATTATAAACAGTACGTGAACACAGTTATGATACTGTAAGTGCTGCAAACTTATATATTCTGGTCCCTGACTCTATTCCCCATCGCATTTCACAAAGACAAGACAATTTACACTAGTACAAGTATAAATGTACAACTCTGACTTCATCACAAGATGCCCACAAGAGGAAAAACATAAGGCTAAAAATGAAAAATGTGATGCTTTTGTCATACGCAGGTCACTGAAATATGGTTATTACCAGTTCAAACTGAACAGAGATGTACTTTTTTGTCTCAAAGCAATGTGAAGAAACATTAAACTTCCCACTCAAGTTTAGCTTGTAATTCACATTATTCACAAGGACTCAAGGAGGGCATGTCATGAAGAATTTAATTAAACCTGTTATTCCCTGTGACCCTTCCTAAACTCTGCCTTCTTTTTCTTTTTCTATTCTCATTTTAAATATTTTTGTTATCTGCAGTTTGAGTTTGTGTGTGTGTATTTTTACTTGACAAAAGGGGAGAGAGAGAGAGAGAGAGTGTGTGTGTGTGTGAGAGAGAGAGAGAGAGGGAGAGAGAGAGAAGCTGAATGACAATCAATGTGCATGCATGCATGCATGTGCATGTGTTTAAGGTGAATGCGCAGAGTGCATGGTAAAGGTACAAGTATACTCCAAAAGAAGTGCTGGTCGGAAAGTCTGAAAACTGTAGAAAACTCCTTTGCGATGGACAATCTTGCCCACTCTCTGACGAGATTGGCTAGGTGTATATACAGTTGTGTGTATAAATGTGCACAGCTCCAAGTCCTCATAATTTCCTGACATTCCTGCTTCCACCCTGTCGACATTAGCAGTAATGAAGACTGTCTGAAAATGGAGAGTACAGCTATAATCAAGAACACCATCTGAACAATGGCTAGGACAGATCTGCTCAGTGTTTCATAGACAGACTGCTCTTTCAGAACTAAACCTGCTGGTGTTCCACAAAGACCAGAACAGGAAAGCAAAATACCTGTGCTTCCTGAATCCTGTAATATTATGTAATTTCATATGGTTTAATTTGATTATTGGCAACAACTTAAGTAGGC